TTCTTTCTTTCTTTCTTTCTTTCTTTCTTTCTTTCTTTCTTTCTTTCTTTCTTTCTTTCTTCCTTTCTGACAGCGTTTCTCTATGTAGCTTTGAAGCCTGTCCTGGAACTAGCTCTTGTAGACCAAGCTGGCCTTGAACTCACAGAGATCCACCCACCTCTACCTTCCAAGTGCTGGGATTAAAAGTGTGTGCCACCACCGCCTGACTAGTGTTTTTTTTTTTTAATTGCTTCTATTTCCACTTTCAGGTCTTGAACAGTTTTGTTTGCTGGGGTCCTCAAAGATACACAGTAGAGGACAGCTGATATTTATAGGACCAGTCCACCAGATGATCTACTAATCTGATGGAGGAACTTCATAAGCAACACTTACGAAAACATTGCTTATAAATGCTGTATGTTTTTTTTTTGTCTGTAATTCTTTTGTGTGCTACCTTGGCTCTCCCTAAAGCAGTCATGGGATTTGTTCTACAACCTTGGCAGTGTATTCTTCATTTATGTTTTCTAAAAAAGAAATATATATCACTTTATATTCATAATTTCAAAGTCCAATAAGTAAAATCAATAATTATAACATGGAGTCTCCAGCCAGATGCAGAGGAAGCAGAAGATGAGCATGCCATGCTGAAAAAAGCCATAGTGAGTGACCTCCACTGAGTAGACCTGAGCCAGTGACCTCTGCAGAACCAGGCCCAAGCCAGCAACCTCTGCTGGACCAGGCCCAGGTCAGAAACCTCTGTGGGACCAGGCCTGAGAGAGGGACACCTATGAAAGCAGACCCAAGTCAGCAACCCCTGCTGGAGCAGGCCCAGGCCAGCGACCTCTGGCTGAGCAGGCCTGAGTCAGTGACCTCCACAGGACCAGGTCCAAGTCAGTGACCTCCACCAGAGCAGGTATGAGGGAATGACCTTTGAGGCGACCCAGCGACCTCTGTGGGACTGGTCCTGAGCCAACAACCTCTGGGGGAGTAGGCATGAACAAGTGACCTCCACAGGCCCAGGCCCAGGCCAGTGACCTCTGTGGGAGTAGGCCTGAGCCAAGAACACTCATGGGAGCAGTTCTGAGCCAGGGACCTCCACTGGGGTAGGCCCAAGCCAGCAACTTCTGCCAGAGCAGGCTCAAGCCAGCAACCTCCATGGGACAAGGTTCAAGGGAGCAATCTCTGCTAGAGTAGGCCCAAGCTAGTTCCTTCTACCAGATCAAACCCGAGCCAGCTACCTTCTTTGAGCCAGTGACTTCCTTTGGAGCAGGCCTGAGCTAACAACCTCCACAGGAGAAGGCCCAAGTGACCTCTGTGGGACAAGGTCTGAGCTAGAAACCTCCACAAGAGCAGGCCCAAGCAAGTGACCTCCATGGGAGCAGGACCGACTGGTCTCTGGGATAGCAGGGCAACCTTCAGGAGCACCAGCAACCTCTAGGAACACTAAGTGACCTCTGACTTCACTGGAACCATGACCCTGACTCCACTACGAGGAATAACCATCTGAGCCTTGGATCTACTGACACCTGGAAGAGTGATCACCAGAGACATGGTCCCAAATACACCAATCAGAGGAAAAGATGAGTAGACAAGATAAGAACATACTCAGCACCACAAAGAGCAACACGACATCAAGAAAAACTAGTGGATCTACAACAGCAAGACTTCAACACCCCAAAAGAGATGCAACAGAAGAAAATTACCTAAAAAATAATGTTAGGAGAATATTTGAGGCCCTTAAAAAGGAAATGAAAAATTCCCTCAAAGAAATGGAGAGAAAGACAAAGAAAAATTTGGAAGAACTCATCAAAATGCTTAAAGAAAATCAAGAAAAAGCAATCAAGCAGATGAATAAAAAATTCAAGACTTAAAAACTGAAATAGAGAAAATAAAGAAAAAACAAACTGAGGGAATAATTCTGGAAATGGAAAATATGGAAAAATGACCAGGAACCACATGTGCAAGCATAAACAGCAGAATACAAGAGATGGAAAAGAGAATCTCAAGCATTGAAGATATGATAGAAGAATTAGACTCACCAGTCAAAGAAAACATTAAATCTAACAGAAGCTTAACACAAAATATCCAGGAATTATGGGACACCATGAAAAGACCAAACCTAAGAATAGTAGGGATAGAAGAAGTCCAAATCAAAAGCACAGAAAACATATTCAACAAGATCTATAATTTCCCAACCTAAAGAAAGATATGCATATGAAGATACAAGAAGCATACAGAACACCAAAAAATGTCCCCTCACCACATAATGATCAAAACACTAAACATACAGAAAGAATAAAGAAAGAAATTTAAGAGCTGCACAGGAAAAAGGCTAAGTAACATATAAAGGCAAACCCATCAGAAATATATCTGATTACTCAATGGAAATAATGAAAGCCAGAAGGTCCTAGTTAAGTATTATGCAGACATTAAGAGACCATGGATGCTAGCCAAGACTATTATAACCAGCAAAACTTTCAGTCACCATAGATGGACAAAACAAGATATTCCATGACAGAACCAGATTTAACCAATACCTCGCCACAAACCCAGCCCTACCCAAAGTACTAGGAGGAAAACTCCAACCCATGGAAGTTAGTTACATTTACTAAAACACAGACAATAGATGATCTCACAGCAGCAAATCCCAAAGAAGGGAAAAATGCACACAATAATACCACCAACAACGGAAACTAAAATAACAGGAACTAGCAATTACTGGTCATTAATATCCCTTAATATAAATGGACTCAGCTCACCCATAAAAAGACAGAGGCTAGCAGATTGAATATGAAAACAGAATCTATTCTTCTGCTGCATACAAGAAACACACCTCAACCTCAAAGACAGACAGACGTTGCCTCAGAGTAAAGAGTTGGGAAATATTTTCCAATCAAATGGACCTAAGAAAAAAGCTATATAGCTATCCTAATATCTAACAAAATATACTTCAAACTAAAATCAATCAAAAGAGACAAAGAAGGACATTTTATATCACAGGAAAAATCCATCAAGAGGAAATCTCAATACTGAACATCTGTGTTCCAAATGCAAAGGTACCCACATATGTAAAAGAAACACTTCTGTGAAGCTTAAATCATACATTAAACCCCACACACTAATAGTGGGAGACTTTAAAACTCCACTCTCAGCACTGGACAGGTCTGCCAGACAGAAACTTAACAGAGAGATAAGAGAACTAAGAGATGTTATGACTCAAACGGATTTAATAGATATCTATAGAATATTCCATCCAAACATAAAAGAATATACCTTCTTCTCAGCACCCCACGGAACCTTCTCAAAAAGTGACCACATACTAGGTAACAAAGCAAACTTCCACAGATACAAAAAATTGGAATAACTCCATGTATCTTATCAGATCACCATGGCTTAAAATTAGAAATCAAGAACAAAACTATTTTCAGAAAGCCCACAAACACATGGAAGTTAAACAATGCTCACCTGAATCACCAATGGGTCAAGAAAGAATTAAAGAAAAAAAAACTAAAGACTTCCTAAAATTCAACAAAAATGACCATACAACATACCCTAATTTATGGGACACAATTAAAGCAGTGTTAAAAGAAAAGTTCATAGCACTAAATGCCTACATAACAAAGCTGAAAAAATCCCACCCTAATGAGTTAACAGAGCACCTGAAAACTAGAAGAAAAAGAAACAAACTCACCCAGGAGGAGTAGAAGACAGGAAATAATCAAATTGAGAGCTGAAATCAACAAAATAGAAATAAAGAAAATAATGCAAAGAATCAATGAGACCAAGAGTTGGTTCTTTGAGAAAATCAACAAAATAGACAAACCTTTATCCAAACTAATCAAAACGCAGAGAGGGAAAATCCAAATTAAATTAACAAAATCAGAAATGAAAAGGTAGATAGATATAACAACAGACATGGAGGAAATCCAGAGGATCATTAGCTCATACGTCGAAAACCTGTACTCCACAAAATTGGAAAACTTAAAGGAAATGGACAATTTTCTGGACTAATATCACTTACCAAAATTAAATCAAGACCAGATAACCTATAATTGACCTATCATTGCTAAAGAAATAGAAACAGTCATCAAAAATTTCCCATCCCCAAAAAGCCAAGGACCAGATGGTTTCAATGCAGAATTCTACAAGATTTTCAAAGAGCTAATACTAATACTCCTCAAATTGTTGCACACAATAGAAACAGAAGGAACATTGTCAAACTCTTTTTATGAGGTTACCATTACCCTGATACCCAAACCACATAAAGACATGACTAAGAAAGAGAGTTACAGACCAATCTCTCTCATGAACATTGATGCAAAAATACTAAATAAAATACTGGCAAACTGAATCCAAGAACCCATCAGAAAAATTATCCACTTTGACAAACATAATATATGCTTATTCTTAAGAGACTTTTAGACATAAAGAAAGACCAGTCTACAATTCACATTTCCAGAGAACCCAGACAAAGAGGACTCTAAGAGAAACATGCATGGATCTAATCTACATGGAAAATATAAAAAGACAAGATCTCCTGAGTAAATTGGATGCTTGGGGACCATGGGAGAGGGCAGAAGGGGAGGGGGAGGAAGAGAGGGGAGTGGAGAAAAAAAACATATCTCAATATAAACAATAAAAATAATAATTATAATAAAATTGTACCTTTTTAATTGACTGTTTTAGAACACTGAGATTCGCAACAAACTTTAGCAGAAAGCACAGCTGTCTTCATTTGCCCCTTGCTCTCATGCATACACGTCTTTATCATTATCAGTATCCGCCAAAGTGTGGGCTATCTGTTACAGTGCAACGTACACAATGTACACCACGGCTCACGCTGTCTAGTTTTTATTTATTTTATTTTTCTTTTAAAGCATTCTTTTCTCATTTTACATACTAATCCCAGTTCCCACTCCCTTCCCTCCTCCTGTTTCCCCCACCTTCCCTCCACCCCACGCCCCATCCACTCTTCAGAGAGGGTAAGGATTCCATGGGGAGTCAACAATGTCTAGCACATCACTTTGAGGCAGGACCAAGGCCCTCCCTGCTGGGTCCAGGTTGAGCAAAGTATCCCTCTGCAGAAAATGGGCTCTAGTGTTTCTCATTTTTTGGCACTGATAGAAGAATGACTTTTCTCTTCCCTGTATAATTCTGGTGAATAAAACAGGCCTTCATAGTTCAGCCTTTGTTCAACAAAATGGATAGAAACTTAGAAACCCATTCTCTATAAGTAGTTAAACTGACAGAGCTAATTAGTTAGCCTGAGAGTCTGTGTATGGATGGCAAGTTAGACTTTCTCAAGGACAGAGATGCAGATGTCTGGTTTGTTTAACTGAAGTCTTTTAGACATAGAGGGACCCAAACCACTCGCCAGCTTCTATTGCCAGGTTCAGTTGCTAACTCACAGACTGGTGGAACTGTGGAGATTCCCTAAGCAATTAACACTTTGCAGGAACCTCTAACCTCAGTTTATGGCACAGAATCCTAGGCTCAGCTAACTAACGGTTATGTTTTAGTTCTGGAATTTATGAGAATAGCAGGAAAAAGCAATTAACCAATTAGCTAATTAACCATATCTGGAAGGAAAGGGCTTTAGACAAGTCTCTGTGGGAAAGGTTTCACAGACAGGCAGGGCTTTGAAAGATAGCCTGGCCTTACAGCCAAAGTTACAAGATTCCCTCCTTGTAGTCTAAGATTACACGCAGGATAGAAAATGTATCTTTAGATTTGGGATGCTCCTCAATGCCTGTCTCTCTTGCCATGTCTGGCTAATAAAGACTTACTCCCTGCACAAATTCCTCAGCAGCTTGTCTCTCCAGGCACTATGCTCCTGCCTCAGGTCACAGCCTGTACAGCAGGAACCTTGAAGCCAGGCATTGAGATTCCCTCAGGTGTAGCGTTTGTAATCTTTTTAGTGAAAAAAGTTTGTTGTTGAATACATACACACCACACACACACACACACACACACACACACACACACGGTGAACAAAGAAGCTAGAGAGAATTGAAGCGTGAGGATTAAAGTTAGAGAATTGGAGCAGGAGAACAAGAGCTGGAAGTAAAGAACTTGATCCTCAGCTTGTACATGTGAGTCTTTCCCCTCCGATAGATAGACATGTGTTCCTAAAACACTCAGATAAAAATGCTTCCTAAACCCTGCTGCTTTGAAGGCATGCTTTCTGTAACCCTGGACTCCCACGCTGTGGTATCTGTTTTCTTCAACTGTTTGTTGTTTTTCCTTGGCTTCCTTTAAGGGATTTATTAATTTCCTCCAATTGTTTGTTTGTGTTTTCCTGAATTTCTTTAAGAGTTTTATTAATTTTCTCTTTAAGGACCTCTATTTTAATCTTCATATAGCTGGTTTTAAGGTCTTTTCTTGTGCTCCAGCTGTTGAAATACGCAGAACCTGCTGTGGTTGGAAAACTGGGCTCTGGTAGAGACTTACTGCCCCAGCTGTTGTTGTGTCTTTATACTGGCATCCTGGCATCTGGATTAGGTATGTATAGTTTAGGTGCTGATTTGTGGGTTTGTCTTGGTTGGGTGGGTGTTTTGTTCCTTTGTTTCTGTTTCCTCTCTGCATTTTCAGAGAGCGTGTTGGCAGACTGTTGCCTATTTTCTGGCCTACTTGATTGGTGTGTTCACAAGGAGTGCTGGCTGCTGTTGGAGGCTGGGATAGCAGGAGGTAGGGGTAGATGGTCTGAGGAATTCAAGGAGGCATGGATTTTGGGGAGAAGAAGTTGCCCATGATGTTCTATTGCACTAGAGGTGACCTGAGAATTGGGTCTGAGGTAATAGAGAAAGTGGGGGAGGTACTTGGGCAGCTTGTCTGGTCTACTGGCAGGCGTTATCTGAGGCTGAGCAGGGGTGCCCACCTGCATGGGTTTGGGACAGGAACACAACTATGAGATGACAAGCGAAGGGTAGCGGGGGATGGTCTGGATGATCAACAGGAGGGTGCCAAATTATGCTCTTTCTCTCTGAATTAAATTTAGAGTCTTTTGATTTAATCCAGATTACTACTTAAAATAATTATTAAACCAAAAAGAGGTATGGTTTTTAAGATCTCCTGAGTAAATTGGGATCATGGGGAACATGGGAAAAGATTGAAGGGGAGGGGAGGGAAGAGGAAAGGAGGGAGCAGAAAAAAACATATAGCTCAATAAAATCAATAAAAGTATGCCTGTTTTTTTCTCTCAGCAAAAGTTTTTTGAGACCCTCTTATTTTCTACCCCTCCAACCTCCCTCCATAAAATACCATCCCTTTCATTTTTGCATTTTCAGTCGTTAAAAAATTATCTGTTTGTGACCAGACATGGTGGCTCATATCTTTAATCCTGCCATTCAGGAAGGAGAGGCAAATAAACTGGTCTGCATAAGGAGTTCCAAGCCAGTCAGGGCTGCCTAGTGAGTCCCTGTCTCAAAAACGTTATCTGCTTGCTTTTCTGGCATCTCTCACAAATCTCATTAGCTATCCTTTAATGAATCAGCCCTTCATCTTCTTCAACTCAAGGCTCACTGGGGAGCTGACCTCACAGACATAAGCTGTATTTAAAGTTTTAAAAAATATTTATGTATTTTTAGAAATTAAAATGTATTTACATCATTTATCCCTTTTGTTGCCTCCCTCCTACCATTCCCATGAACCCTTCCTGATCTCTCCATTTCTTTCATCGTTGCTACACACACCACAAACACGAGCTGCTCAGTCTGTATAATGTTATCTGCATGTATGTTTTATGTATGACCTCCTGATAGTGAATAATATCTCCTTTGAAGCTTGGCTGCTCTCTCTCCTGCCATAATACTGTTTACTCCTTATATAAAGCTAGATAAGGGCTTTCCAGAATCCTCAAATTTCCAGACATGTGAACTTTTGTTTAGCTAGTGAATCACATGAGGTATCCCCTCCCCCACCTCTTAGACTCCAGACCTAGAGGGAAAGTTTCAGTTCCATGAATCTGCCACACATCACCGATCCACATTCTATCCAGAAACTTGATTGGTCTCACTGACTATAGAAAATTTGGGCAGAATTTCTTCAATATGGTATGACTTTCTTCAAATTTCTTGCTGTGATTTATTATAGTTACTTTATATATGGTAAACTGGTATAATTTTAATCTACTTCACTATTTACACATACGGTTCATATGGAAAAGTTTTGCTAACATTTAAGAACAATCCCGGGGCACTATATCCTGAATGACATTTTTCTTTGTTTTTCTTCTTGATCAGAGGTCAGTTGTTGAAATTCTTTAAAATGGTGTCATCTTGGTGATAGTGTCCTTCTTTGCCTCTCTTGAACTTTTCCTCCTGAAACAAATACAGCAAACACCATAAACAAAAACAATGGGAAAGGACACAGAGAAGAGGGATATCCCTGTGTTCTTTAGAACAACTTCATCCTTTACCCATCAGTGTTAGGAAAAGCTATGGTTCTTCACAAAATATTAGAATAAATCTTGTGAATAGAAGACTGAACTCCCTGGGAACCTCTGTGAGGCAGCTCTGACTCCTCCTACTTTGGTTAGCATGGTGTTCTCAGACGAGTTTTAGGAAAACACATGGGAATCACACCAAAGTTTTAAAATCCTTCCCTCTTCTTTTTGTAATAATTTTATTGACTATTCCATTTTTCTCTGACATGAACATTTTATTCCCAGTGGAACAAATATTTTCTGAATCTCACAGCAAGCACAAGTGTCCTTCCCTCAGATACATTGTCATGGGTGGCAGATTCTTCAGTTTGTATATAATCTGTAAGTTAGGTAATGACTGTCATATCCTAAGTCTATAGAGACTTAGTTTTAGAAAGCTTACCAGCACTCACTGGTCTGAGGGATGAAATGCCCTTGATATTTGTGTGTGATTGTGAAATATCTTCAAGGATATGTGTTTTATAATGGAGCAAAGTAGACAGAAGGTACATGATACATGTTGTCAAGATACATGTTTCATAATGGGTCAGAGTAAAACAGAGGACACATGAGCTTGTCCTATTTATCATTAAATCTTCTAGCACCACCTAGTCAGAGTTGGTTCTTGTGATGTAGAGTTTCCAGGCACATATGAAATCCCTATATAAAGGGATGTACAAAGGGTCCCTATGCCGATACCAATGACCATATGTGAAAAAGCCTAGTTGTCAGCTTGCCATGGAGAGACTGACTCTGAATTCCCATTCACCGTCCTCATCACGGACCACTGACACATAAGCCCCCTAAGGGGAAGTAGAGGTGTTACTCACTCATTTTCCACATCTTGGATGGAGTCAGGCAGAGGCTGATTCTTGGTCTCAGGAAGGAGAAGGGCAACAAGACCACTGAGGATGGAGAGGACTCCATAGATGATCCAGGGTAAGTTGGCAGAGTACATCGTGAGGATCATAAACAGCGGAGACAGGGCTGCCCCAGTACTACCAGCAGTTCCAACGACTCCCAGAGCAGTTGCCCTTGGGGTATAAAGTATAAATCAGATGTAATCTAGACAATTTACACACAGAATTTGTGAGTTTACATCTCACATTAATTGTAAATCAATACACAGTGTAATTGATTTAAGGATGCTGGTAACTTATTCTTGACTTTCAAATTTCTGTTTCATTTGGTGTTATCTTTTTGTCAAGGTCAGAATATTAAGATACCATTTACAATAAAACATACTATAGAGGATAAATAGTACCTGTTTTCTGTCACAGTTGTATACTACGCTTTTCATGTATGCATACACATGGGTGGGGTCTGGGTATAGACTATGAAACTAGAAAAAGTGATCATAAGAGGGGAGGAGAAGGTCTTAGTGGAGAGAGGGATTTATAGTAATGTATGTGACATGAAAGGAAAAGGGGTACTGAGGCATGGACTGGGAATGTAAGTGAGCATGGAGGGACAGGGGAGTTAGATGGATAAAAAGATAGTATCTGAAAATTTTATATTGAAACACAGATTTTCTATGCTAGTTAAAAGACATGCAACTTAATAAAATAGACATGAGTTTAGGAGGTAGATCAGTGTGGAAGGAGTTAGCAAGAGTGGGCAGAGATAAAAGAAGGAAGATAATGGGGAGTGAGTGTCAGCATACCTGCATGAAATCATAAAAATATAAAAATGCACACAATGAAAAAGAAAAATATTTAAAAGTTGTATTTCTCTTGGTAGCTGCCTTTTTCTATGTGATTCCAAGTTGTACAGGAGATGCTGGTTAGTGGTACATTGGACTTGAATCTATCTGACAAAAAGTAAACTTTGAGGACACTGTGGCCATTCCTGTTGTCATCACAATTGACTGCTTAATTACCCAGCAGTTTTTGTTTCTTGTTCTTAGTGAATGAACTGAGAAAAATCTGCTCTGACCTTGCTTGAGTCATACCTGAGTACAGTGGGGACAAGCTCATTTGCATGCACAAGAGTACTCGTTAAAGAGGCAGAAGAAATTGCTGCTCCAAATGTTGCCAAAATTGTACGCAGGGTCTGCATTTCTGGATAGAGGAAGACCAGTGACAGTCAAGTGAGACAGACAGATAAATCGGAATGCACGAATCTGCAGCTCCCAACTCTAAATGGAACATATTTTTGTTGGAAGCTTGTCATATATCTAAAATATAGTTGAGGGAGACTTCAGAGGTATAAAATGTCAGTAGCTACAAGGTACAAGGTGACCTATCTGCATATATTGATTTATAATGAAGAAAAGCTTCTGAAAAAAATTAGATGTTATATCTCTGATATTTGGATAAGAAGCAGAGAGCCCCAGGATGGTGGTGGTGCACCCCTTTAATCCCAGCCCTCGGCAGGCAGAAGCAGGCAGATCTCTGTGACTTCGAGGCCAGCCTGGTCTACGGAGCAAGTTCCAGGACAGGCTCCAAAGCTACAGAGAAACCCTGTGTTGAACAACAACAACAGAAGTAGAGAGCTCGGCAGATGCAGAAAATCACATCTGCCCTTTCTTTCTCGGGTTTCAGCAATCCTTCATGCAGGATGCAGGACTGTCATGGAGAAAACCATGGAGAACTATCAACTCATTCAGAAACACACAGTATTTAAGTCTATGACCTGTGTGCCATATTACAGAAGAGTGGAAGGACAGAAAGTCTACAGTGGTGTGCAAGCTGGGGACTGGCTTGATGTGGAATAGTGTCCGAGTACTTGTAAGTATGCTTGCTAGGAAAACTATCAAAGTTGAAAAACCATTCATAGGGTCAATTGGCACTCAATTTAAAAAGTCTCATGAGGGTTTGATTCCCAGTACCCACATGGTATCTCACAACTATCTCTGTTCAGTTTCCAGTGGATCTGATGCCCTCTTCTGGCCTCTGTGGACACCAGGCACATGTGGTGTATATACAGGCATGCAGGCAAAACACACATACACATAAAATAAAATAACTAAATTTTGAAAAAGGCTCATGAAAGCTTTACATGTTGAAGTGTTTCTTGAGTTAAGGCAGAAAACTGACATCACTGATGACATTTAGGCATCAACACTGCTGTTTTGGAATTTTATGAAACATGCTATAGTCCTGGATTTCAGCAAAGTTTGGTGACCACCTGGTCATTTCCTTCTTACATACATCCATTTAACTCAATGAAGTAAATTTTAACAGTCTTGTGACTTAGTCCATTCCTACTTCTTTGCCCTTTGTTTGAGCTTCAATGCAAATGATATGCCTCTTTCTTGGGACAACTCTCCGACCTAGGTTTGGGTTCATGGTGATATAATGTGAGAGTTATGAGTAGACACACACAGTTCAGGAAATAAATTATCATTGAAACTAAAGTAATGAGAACCTGTAGCACTGAGGAAGTAACTGTGTTTTGGTCAAAATTACAAAGCCTAAACTTACATAATTGCTATGAAAATTATAATTCACCAATGACTGATCCATTGTTGACCTAAATGCATTTGAGTATAAATGTATCAGATGCTTCTTCCATTAAATAAAGACAAATATCTGAACCAAATTTTACTGAAATTTTAGCCGTTATCCCAATATCTTAGTAGAATAATGTGTTATAAAGGTCTGGACTACCTACAGCGAATCTACAGAATGCCTTTCTCCCCAACTTCTTATAGTTAGGATATGACAAATCCTGAATGTATTTTCTTTGCTCATCCTGTGTTCTTTTCTCACCTTGAGGCAAAAATATGATGGCCAAAATGGAGATTCCCATCAGAGACATGAAAATCATTTGGGTTATTCTGCGGCCCATGTAGTTCATTGAAAATTTTTCAAGAACATTGGCTGGGATGGATACTACACCATAGAGACACTGCAGTAGGAACACATTACTGCTCAGGTATTGGAAATGGATAAGCAGACCCAAAACAGCTATCAATGACAAAAATCTGTAGCGAACAAAGAAGAAAGTCACATCATAAGATTTTGAGTGGTTGCTCAACACATGATAGTTATCTCAGGCAGCTCATTTTAGTTGTTAAATTATTGAGGCATCTGTTTTCTGGAAAATTTGCATGTGGGAGATCACAAAACATTCTATGATGGAGGAAACATATAATCGCTCTTTAATTTTTTTAAGATGTTAGGAAATTCTTGGGATACAAGATGGGTCCATTCAGGGTTTTAGAGTTTTCTTATAACTTGATATGAATGAAAGTTATAGCTTCATATCTGTAGATACCCATCAATGTGTATACAGTTATATAATTGAGGTTTGAAGTTTTATCTCCTTTGAAATGGAAACAAACAAATGAGGAAGCTTAGATTCCAAGTTTCTCCATGACTGGAATTCTAAGCAACGGTTTCTGATAAAGCACTTGTGACAGTGATTGGTTAAACACTCCTCACAGCACAGTAAACTCTGTGTTAATATAGTCCAAACCCTTTGAATTCCCCCAGCTGTAGAAGTTCCTCAGCACTTATCTCCAAGTCTGTTAAAGGAAGATTAATGTCTATACTGTTTTTGATACAGGGTCTTAATACATAGCCTTGGCTGGTCTTGAACTCTCTATGTAGACTAGGCTGGCTTCAAACTCATAGAGATCCACCTACATCTGCCTCCTGAGTATGGGATTAAAAGTGTGAGCCACCACCACATCGTTTTCAGAGTATCTGTGTGACACCTACCTCACAAAGCAGAGGAGACAGACCCGCTTACGTAGGTTGGGTGTACGGAACAAGTCCAACAGGGAATGTTTTGTCTGTGCCGCCTCCAGTTCATCTTCCATGGTGTTTCTCACAACCTTCAACAACATCAACAAACTGTTGTCATGAAATGATGAACATTGTGAGGCATGCTGGTAACCTACAGAAGACCAACAGTTATTGTTCCTGTCTAGTGAACAATATATAGACATAAAGAAAATAATGGCAGGCATAGAAAGAAGTGGTGAGAAGTGTGAGCCCAGTAGTGAAAGGAAACTCAGGCATTTCTACAGAGAGAATGTGTTCAACCAGTAGACTATAGTTAGATGTAGGCAATAGAAAGGTAGTTATATGTTAGAGACACAGATTAGAGAGGAAAACAAGTGATAAGTTATTTAGAATATGGTCCCACATTCCACATAAAGCAGATGAATTTGCATGGCATGGCATCTGGTACTTTAAAAGCTTTTTGAAAGAAAAATATAATTATATAATTTCACCCTTTCCTTTCCTCCCTCCATCCCGTCCTATGCAACCTACCCTGCTCTCTCAAATATGTGGCTTCTGTTTCTTTAATTACACACACATACACGCACAACTAAATATATGAATATAATATGCTCAGGCTTTATAATATTATTTATGTATGTGTGATTTCAGAGATAACTGCTTGTCATTAGATGACCAATTTGGGCCACTTCCTAAGGAACTCTCTTGCTCACAGAATTCCTTAGTTGCTGAAATTCTCCATGGTTGAGGTTCCTTGGAAATTCCCCTTTCCATTAGCAGAAAGGTTGTAAAAGCAAGAGAAACAGAAAATTTTCTGTGAGATTTTCGTCTTCTAGATATGTCAGAGAAACTATATGAAGTCTCATCAACATGGCTGCTTTGACAAAATATGAACAAGGATGACACCAGTAAACATGTTAACACAAAAGGGGGAAACCCACTCAATTTTAATGACTGAACAAAATAGTCTTAGGCTGGGCCCTGTTGTTTACTTCTTTAACTGCAGAACTCGTGAGGCAGAGCAGGAGGGTAAATAGTGTGACTAAACACACACCTCAAACCCCTTCAAAAGAAAAAAATAGTCTCAGGAGAATTAATTCTTTGTAGGAGTATTGACACAGGTAAGGGACACTAGAATGCTGTAAGCAGAACTCAATGGATGATTCTGGTGGGAGTTCGGGAGATTAGAATCTGGCAAAAACATGAATAGTGAAGGTCTGGGTTGTGAGATTTCATAAGATTCCACTGACTACGATGAGTTCTTCTGTTCCTGCTGAGATGCGGGCCTTGCGTACCCCAAATTCAGATAGAATGATCTAGAAAATCATTCTGTGTGGTCCTCTGACTCTTGTGAATTTCCCAACCCCTACCATTACCTTGTCCTGTGCAGTTCCACTGACCTCTGTGTGTTCTCTGTACCCCCACAAAATAGGCTCAAGTCCAGTAAGCAATCCCAACTCAGCACCAGCTCCGCTTTTGGCGCTGTTCTTCTGAGCCATCTTCAAAAGTCAGCCTAACAAATATTCTTGACATTTAAGCTGAAATATCCAAAACCAAAAGAACCTGACAGACATCTGAGGAGCTTTCCACATAACACCAATAAATATCTATTCTCTGCAACAGCTCTTGGAGTCTTGTTCAAAATAGGCTACATGCTAGAGTCCAAAGTAAGCTGCAGCAAGCATAGTAATATTGAAATAATACCCTGTGTTCTAACTGACCACAATGGAATAAAGTTAGACATTAGTAGTAAGAAACAGCACAGAAGACAAACTAATTCATAGAGATTAAATAACACACCGTTGAATGACAAGTGAGCATTAAGAAAGAAATAAAGGGTTCCTAGAACTGAACAAAAATGAACATAGAACTTACCAAATCTATGGGGCATCATAAAGGCAGACTTGAGAAGAAAGTTTATAGCCTGAGATACCCATAATGTTTTCATAAATCTCAGATAAAGAGTTTGACGTAACTTTTAATGGCATAACTCTTAAATTGTAATGACATAACACAAAGCCAATATATCACCAAATTATAGAATCTAAAAATGGGTGAAATTATAGATGCATATTGCCTACCAAAATTAAAGTAAGATAAAACACATAACTTAAACAGATTTATAAATTGCAAGATTCACTTGGACTCACTGTAAAATTCCCAACATTCAAAGAAATCTAACACCAACATTGTTCAAATAATTCCACAAAATAGGAGAGAAAGGAAGGCTTATCATCTTTTTTATAAATCTATTATAGCTCTGATGTCAAAACCTTCTCAACAAAACAAAAAGATTTTAATTCTGGCCAATGGAATTAAAAACAAAACAAAACAAAACAAAACAAAACAAAACAAAACAAAACAAAACATGTGCTCAACTATGTTCATAGCAGCATTGTTTGTCATAGCCCAAGCCTGGAAACAACCTAAATGTCCCTTGACTGAAGAATGGATAAGGAAAATGTGATACATTTACACAATGGAGTACTACACAGGAGAACACAAAGAAAAAATAGCAATATCTTGAATTTTGCAGGCAAATGGATGGAGCCAGAAAACATAATTTTGAGTGAGGTAACCCACACCCAGAAAGACAATTATCACATGTACTCACGCATAAGTATTTTTAAATCATAAACAAAGAAAATCAGCCCACAAATTGCAATCCCAGAGAACCTAGACAACAATGAGGAGCCTAAGAGAGACATACATAGACCTAATCTACATGGGTAGTAAAAAAAGACAAGATCTCCTGAGTAAATTGGGAGCATGGGGACCTTGGGGAAAGGGTTGAAAAGGAGGGGAGAGGCAGAAAGGGGAGCATAGAAAAATGTAGAGCTCAATAAAAATCAATAAAAAATAAAAAATTAATTATGATCAATTTGGCTTCAGATATTCAGGGATGTTTCAACACAGATAAATTAATAAATGTGATTATATAAATGGACTCAAGACAGAAATCACATAATTATCTTAAAAGATGCAGAAAAAATATTCAACAAAACCCACTATCCCTTCAGGATCAAAGTCATGGAGAGGCTAGGAATGGATGGATCACGTCTCAACATTGTAAAGGCTACACGTCAACGATGACTCTGTTGATTTCTTTTCTGTCATTATGACAAATACCCTGCTAACTCAAGAGAGAAAGGTTTATTTTATATTATAGTTCCAGTGTGTCAGAGACCACCATGGTAAGGAAGACATGGTATAAGGCAGGGAAGACATGGAGGCACGAGCAGGAAATTGGGTGAGCACACTGCACCTGCACACAGGAAACAAAGAGAGATCAGCAAGTGGGACAAACCAATAAAGTCTAAAGCCGACGTCTTACTTCCCTTAGTAAGGTCCACCTAAATGTCCTATCCTTCATGAATGTTGGTAATACCTGGGGATCAAGACACATGAACATATAGGGGACATTTTCCCCTCATTTACTTGTTCCTATTTATTTTTTATTTTAAAATAGTCTTCCATAATTTACCAATCTCAGTTTCCACTCCCTCCCCTTCTTCTCCTACTCCTCTGAGAGAGTAAGATTTCCTATTGGAACTCAACGAAGTCTTGCACATCACTTTGAGGCAGGACCAAGGCCCTTCCCCCCTATATCTAGGCTGAGCAAGGTACCCCTCTTAAAAAAATGGGTTTTAAAAAGCTAGTTCAAGCACTAGGGCTAAGACCTGGTCCCACTGCCAGTAGCCCTAGAGACTACCCTAGACACACAGATGTCACCCGCATTCAGAGGGCCTGGTTTATATGAAACCACAACACGCCCCTGGCCTCCATAAGCTCATGACAAGCTCATTATGCAAAATGCATTTACTATTTAAAAAATATTCCCATAGTCTTTAACATTCCCAACATTGTTCCAAAGCTTAGGGCTTCCTCTTAACTGTGACTCCCTGCAGAAACTAAAGGATTACATATAAGCATAATAGCACACAGTATACATTCCCATTACAAAAGATAAGAATGGGGGCATAGTGAGGAAGTAATTGACTAAAGCAAGACCAAAACCCAGCAGGAAAACATCAAATCCTATAGCTCCATGTCCAATGTCTGAGACTTTAGTTTTAAAGGGGTTAGATGGTGTCATATCTCCAGTTGTATATTGTTTATAATAAGTTTATATTAATTTCTATCTTAAGTTAGTTCCACTCAGTGAATTTGCCCTAGTTTGTTTTTCGTTGCTGTGACACAAAAAAACACCATGACCAAAAGCAACTGGGAAGGAAAGGGTTTTGTTTCATCTTACAGCTTACAGTATACCATGCAGGGAAGTCAGGGAAGGAACTTGAGGCTGAAACTTGAAAAAGAAAAGATGCCGGGTGATGATGTCATATGCCTTTAATCTCAGTACTCAGGAGGCAGACGTAGGTGGATCTCTGTGATTTTGGGGCCAGCCTGGTCTACAAGAGCTAGTTCCAGGACAGATTCCAAAGCTACAGAGAAACCTGGTCTTGAAAAAGAAAAACCAAAAGCCAAACCAAACCAACCAAACAAAAAAGGCCATGAGGAAAGCTACTTACTGGCTCGCTTTCTTTGTCTCTCAGCTTTCTTTCTTATATAACACAGAACTGCCTACTCAGGGGTGACACCAAGCACAGGGCGCTAGGCCCTCCCACATCAATCATTGATCAAGAAAGAGCCCCATGACTTGCCTACAGGCCGATCTGACATAGTATTTTCTCATCTCAGAGTCCCTCTTCCCAGATGATCTTAGGTTGTGATAACAAAAAAGTAACCAGCACAGAATTCAAGAAACAAAATGAAGAAAAACAAGTGATTTAAATTTTCTTTTGGTTTTCAGGCCAGGGTTTCTCTGTGTAGCTTTGACTGTCCTGGAACTCATTCTGTAGATGAGGCCATCGTCAAACTCACTGCCTCTGTCTTCCAAGTGCTGGGATTAAAGGCGTGTACCCCTGCCAGTGTGACTTGAATTCTGTTTGAATGACACATTCTTATGAAGTGTTTTTAGTGACCACACATTGCATCTCAGGCACTAACTCATGTGAATGTCAAACTTGTGGTGTGTGTGTGTGTGTGTGTGTGTGTGTGTTAACGAGCTTCCATTGTGCTCACCTCTATGGTTAGGACATCTTCAGAATTCTTCATTCCATTTATGTGTGCAACTTTTATAAGTTCCTTTAAGCCCTTCTGTGGTTTGTTGGTCACAATCAGCCACCGAGCTGACTCTGACAGCCACCTGCCCAAGATGTTGGATGTGAGATAATTCTCAAGCAGTCATTTTAAAGTACATTTTCCTTGAGCAATTATATTCTTTAATTTAATACCTACCACTCACTCATTCAGTTATATTAATAAATACAATATTACACTGTCTACCCTTCAGTAGGAAAATGGGAAATGACTCATGTATACCTTATACATGCACTTCCAGAATGCAGACCTGGAGTTATATTTTTCTGCCCATTCTTACCCAAATATATATTTATATGGAGTTCACAGAACTGCAACATGAAGGATACTTGTATAGACATTTTCCAAATTCCCTGTTAAGGTAAACATTTACTCCTGCTTTGTTCTTTTCCTAAAAAGAACCACTGGATAAATTTTGTATACTAACTCTATCATTCAAACCATAGTCATTCCTACTCCTAGCAACTAATGCTTTCTGGTCGCAAAAGCAAGTTAACTCTGCCTTCATTTCTAATCTATAAAATGGGGACAGCAGCATCACAACTGTCTTCGGTTTTATATTTTTTTGGAGGGGGGCAGGGCTTCTCTGTGTAGCTTTGGCCATCCTGGACCTCATTTTGTAGACCAGACTGGCCTTGAACGAAGAGTTTTGTCTACCTAGCCTCCTAAGGGCTAGGATTAAATAAATGTGCACACCACCACTGCCTGGCTATGGCAGCATCACACTTTTGTTAGCTATTCGATGAGGAGAAAGTGATGTGGAAGAACCTGAAAAAGGAATTTCCTTCTTTTCTGTATGGACTCTTCTCACTGTATCAGTCTATAAATATTTAATGGTCTTTCCTGACCGTTAAGCCTCCTCTGTTGATGGCATCATAGCATTTCTAAATTCTTTTTTTTTTTAATGGAAAGCAAAGGAATTCAAAGAGCCAGTGAGAGAAGTGGGTCATTTTGCCTACAGCTTAAAACTGGAGAAGCCATGATTTTCCTTCATTGAACAGCTGTGAAGATAAACTGACCTTACATGCCTTTTATTAATATCAAATTTACCATAATTTTCAAAGTATTTTTTTGAAACCACTCGTATAAATACAAACTGTAACAGAGGCAATATGATCTTGAAATGTTTATCCTATTACTGCCCAGATAATTTAGACTTAGTAGCAGAGACAGACAGAAAGGCCAAGAACATTCTGATAAGGGTTCATTGCTAATTTCTGCTTTTGGGTGTGTTTTCCTCTAGTAAATAAAATAACTTTGTACATGGTAAAATTTGAACATCATTCAGTTAGCATATATATTATATTAACTGTTAGCATAGCACATCCGTTACTTTGGAAATATTAACACAGAAAGTGTTTATTATTTTAAGTAATATGACTATCCTGAAATGTCATGTATTTTTTCCAGTTATTAAACAAAGCACAGAACTAACAGGTAAAGAGAATTTTCAAATAAAGAATGAGTACATGTCAGAAAATGCAGTTCTTTTACTATATGTATGTATGATTGTGAGTTTCTAAAACAACCTATCGCTTATCTTAGATTTAAGTTAGTTAAACCTTCTCAGTTTTATTTGACAGAGCTGTGTGTCCTTGTGCCACAGAAGCACAAATGCGTTTCCTATGTCCTGATTCCATGCACATTGCCATCCCTGGGCTCCATAACAGAAGAGGAAAGAAATCTCATACCTTGTGAGAATAAGGAAGAAGAACATTGGTACAGACATTGCCAGCTGGAGGTGGCGCCAGTTTCGGATAGCAAAAGCCAGGCCTCCCAATATTAGCTGTCCAATCCCCCCAGCACAAAATGCCAGTGCCATTACCAAAGCTTGAAATTTAGGGCTTGTCCATTCTAAAACTGAAAGAAAAGAAAATGAAGTTGACTTCTAAGAAAGCGGGACAGGACATCCAGGTCAAACCCAGAGTTTGGTCAATGTCTATCAAAAGCTTTGACTTACTGAGCAAAACACCGTTTGTCCTCATGGATGAGGAGGAAATCCCTGCCAGGAAGCGAACTGTGCAGTAGATGAGGAAGGAGGGAGCCACAGCTGCACAGGTTTCACTCACGCCCATCAGCAGTAAAGCACCCGTGAAAACAAACTTCCTCCCAAACCTGAGGAAAAGGATTATGGAAACAATAAGTCTGCATAAACAGTGAAGATAGGAAACACTTTGGAATGATAAACAATTAGGAAATTAAAAAGGACAGACATCCTCCAGAGCAAAACTTCTTTCTGACCTCTATCTGTTTTAAGTGGGGTCTTACTCTGTAGTGCTTGCTGGCCTGGAATTACCATGATGCCAAGCCTAGCCTCACATTCTCAGAGATCCGCCTTCCTTCCAAGTGCTGGGATTTACTGTGTGTACCTTCCCATCTGTTCTTCCCAATTTCTTTCTTTTCTTCTTTGTCTTTTCAAAACAGGCTTCTCTGTGTTGCCCTGACTGTCCTGGAGCTGTCTCTGTAGACCAGGCTGGCCTTGAATTCCCAGAGATTCCTGCCTCTGCTTCCCAAGTGCTGTGATTCAAGGTGTGTGTCACCACTGCCTTGTTCTTCTTGATTTCTTATCACTAGTTTTCCATATGAGTTAAGCCATATATGACAGACTACAAATCTGGAATTTTAACACAAGTGTGTCATACTAAATTGTGCAATAACATTACTATTACCTATTTATTTAATCATGGTGACAAACTATCTGACAGACACTACTTAGGGGAAAGATTTATTTGGGCTCACAACTTCTGAGGGTGCCATCTGCCTGCCATAATGAGAATCCATGGTTTCAGGAGCAGGTGACAGAGTTCCTCCCTTTGAGTCTAAACCAGTTAGAATTCACACAGAAACCAAAGTGGGTACCTCCTTCAACATTAACCTCAAGCAACCCATTTCTGCCCATCAATTCTCACATCCCAAAGTGTTATAACCGTCCAAGCTTGTCCTCCAGTTAGGGAACCAAGTATTCAAATACTTGAACCTATGATGAACTTTGGTGTCAAAAGATTTAATTTCAAATGAGAAAATCTGAAATGAGAATGAATCACTTTTATACAATTGTGTATATACAATCTTTTGATTTTTGAGTGTTTATAATCTATTGATTATTCCTGTGCAGGAAGGTCTTTGCATTCACTTTCTTAGATTTTAACTTCTTGAATTTGTATATTGATATATTACATCAAACATATCATTATATCTTCCAAAAAGTCTGTTCCTTCCCCACTCTCTTCTCTCTTTTACTCCCATAATGCATATTTTTGTTTAGCCTGTTGATGTCCCATAAGTCTACTGAAAACTAGTTACAATAGTTGCAATCTATCTTTTGGCTTCTTAATTTTAACAGCTTTTCTGTTCTGTTGCTCTTCTCTAATTCATGATTGTGTTAGTGCCATCTTCCACTAAATGTCTCTAGGGAAAACTTTGATTTATTGTAGTTTTAAAATCCAGGTTTCTGTTTTGTCTTTTATGTACTTTCTATTACTGATTTCCCTATACACTAGTTTCCCAGATGTCATTAATACCTTGTCCATGACCTATTTCATTGTTTTGTATATATTTAAGATATGCCTTTTAAATTATTTTTCTTGTAAATCTCCCGCAGAGACCATTCCTAGCATGTTTCATTTTTGAGTGATCATACTTCCTTTTTCTTTGTCATATTTATTGCTTTATTATTCTTGTAAAAAATTATATTTGATTGTTACAATGTAGGCGTTTGGAATTCAGACTCTTACGTTTGCAAAGAATGTTCTTTATTTATTTCATTTTTGAAATATAGTGGCCTGAAACATTTACCAAACTGTTGCAAAGTCAGTCCTTTTTTTCTGTGTTGTCACTGAAGTCTTAAATATCCTTATAACAGGCATGAGTCTGGGACCTTTGAGGGAGTAGGCAGGAACCAGAGTTCTTTGTGGGTCCAGGCATGAGTCTGGGACCTCTGAAGGAGTAGACCTGACCCAGGACCTCTATGGGTCCGGGTGTCATTCTGGGACATCAAAGGGAGTAGGGAGGAACCAGAACCTTCTGTGGGTCTGGGTGTGGGTCTGGGACCTCTGAGGGAGTAGGCCTGAGACAGGTCCTCTGCGGGTCTGGGTGCCCTGGAGTCTGGGACTGCTGAGGGAGTAGATCAGAGCCAGTGATCTTTGAAGGACCAACCCCAAGCCAGGGACCTCTGCAGGAGTGGATTCAGACCAGGGTTTACAGAAACAGGTCTGATCCAGTAACCTAGGCCAGAGCAGGCCTGAGGCAACAAATTCCACAGGAGCAAGTCTGAGTTAGTGACTTTGGGTCAAAAAGGGCCTGAGGCAATAAATTCCACAGGAGTAGGACTGAGCCAGCAACCTAGGCTAGAGCAGGTCTGAGACAATGAACTCCACAGGAGTAGAACTGAGCTAGTGACTTGGGCCAGAGCAGGCCTGAGGCAGTGAACTCCATAGGAGCAAGACTGAGCCAGCAACATAGGCCAGAGAAAATCTGAGGCAGTGAACTTCAAAAGAGCAGGACTGAGTTAGTGACCTGGGCCTGAGTGGGCCTGGGACAGTGAAATTCATGAGAGCAGGAGTGGATACAGACCAGGGTCATTTGTGGAAGCAGGACTGGGCCAGTGACCTAGGACAGAGCAGGCCTGAGGTGGTGAGCTCCATGGGAGTGGGACTGAGACAGCTACATAGGCCGGAGCAGGCCTGAGAAAGTGAGCTCAGTTAGAGCAGGAGTGGATCCGAACCAGGGTCATTTGTGGAAGCAGGACTGAGACAGCTTCCTAGACCAGAGAGGGCCTGAGAAAGCAAGCTCCATTGGAGTGGGGAGGATCCAGACCAGGGGCATTTGCTGAGGCAGGACTGAGTCAGTGACCTGGGCTAGAGCAGACTTGAGACAGCGAACTCCACAGGAGCAGGTACAGGGGAGCAACTGTTAAACGAGTGGGCCAGAGACTACTGTGGATATAGGTGTGAATCTGGGACCTTTGAGGGAGTAGACCTGAGCCAGGAGCCCTGCAGGTCAGGGCTTGAATCTGGGACCTCCGAGGGAGTAGGCCTGAGCCAGGTTCTCTGCAGGTATGAGTGTACCTGAGTCTGGGACCTCCAAGGGAGTAGATCAGAGCCAGAGACCTTTACAGGACTAACCCCAAGACAGGGACCTCTGCAGGAGTGGACCCAGACTGGGGAAATTTACAGAAAGAGGTCTGAGCCAACAACCTAGGCTAGAGCAGGCTTGAGACAGCAAACTCCACGGGAGTGCAGCAAACCCCAGGAGTGCTGAGTGACCTCCAGGAACATGGAGTGATTAGCAGGGTAACTAGAATCGTGGCACTGATTGTACTACAAGAAACAACCATTTGAGCCTTGGATTCACTGGCACCTAAAAGATTAATCACCAGAATCACAGACAGCCCCAACCACACCAATTAGGGGAAAAGTTGAGTAGACAAGGTAAGAACACATGCAACACCATAAAGAGCAACAATACCATGACACCATTAAAAACTAGAGACCCTACAACAGCAAGACTTGAACAACCAAATATACATGAAGCAGAAGAAAATGATCTGAAAAATAACTTCAAGAGAATGTTTGAAATTCTTTTTATTTATTTATTTAACATTTTTTAATTGATTTTTATTGAGCACTACATTTTTCTCTGTTCCCCTCCCTGCCTTTCCCCTACCCACTTCAACCCTCCCCTAAGGTCCCCATGCTACCAATTTACTCAATGAAATATAGGAATAATGAGAATGAGAAGTTTTTACCCTTTTCACGTTGGATATTTTTTAGACATTATCCTATAACTAGAGATGACACACATCCTCAAAGAACATGGAGATCTTAAGTTTATGTGTCAAACTAGCTCTAATATTAGAGCAAAATTGGTTTCATCTTCAAGGAGTGTCCTTCCAAATGTCAATCTATCACCAAAAATAGGAGCTATTGTGTCTTTTCTTTCATATAAAGGAGATATTTAATGTGGTGGCTTAGAGTTCAAGGGTTCAATCCATTATCATCATGGTGGAACATTGCAGAAGAACTAGTACCAATACTCCTCAAATTATTCCCCACAATAGTCACAGAAGGAACAATGACAAACTCTTTTTATGAGGCTACAATTACTCTGATAACCAAACCACACAAAGACATTACAAAGAAAGAGAATTGCAGATCAATCTCACTCATGAACATTGATGCAAAAATACTCAATAAAATACTGGCAAATCGAATCCAAGAACACATCAAAACCATCATCCACCATGATCAAGTCAGCTTCATCCCACAGACGCAGGGATGATTCAACATATGAAAATCTGTCAATGTAATCTACCATATAAACAAACTGAAAAATAAAAACCACATAATCACCTCATTAGATTAAAAAAAAACTTTCGACAAAATACAACATCCCTTCATGATAAAGGTCTTGGATACAAGAAACAGACCTAAACATAATAAAGGCAGTATACAGCAAACCAACAGCCAACATCAAACTAAATAAAGAGAAATTCCCAGCGATTCCACTGAAATCAGGACATAGACAATGATATTCACTCTCTCCATATCTATTCAATATAGTTCTTGGGGTCCTAGCTAGGGCAGTAAGACACCAAAAGAAGATCAAGGGGATATAAATCAGAAAAGAAGAAGTCAAACTCTCACAATTTGCTGATGATATAATTATTTACATAATCAATTGCAAAAATTCTATCAAGGAACTTCTACAACTCATAGACACTTTCAGTGTCTTTAAAAAGGGAATAATAAATATATAAAGTAATTAAGTAATTAATAATTTAATGGGTATTCATTGAGATATGGAAGGACATATTATGCTAAAATATCAATTTTAAACTTATATAAATGTAATATGTTCAAGACACAGAAAATGAAAACACAAAAAGTAAAGGAAAAGTAGGCCACAGAGTGACAGATTTTACCATCACTACCTCAGTAACCAAAATAATAGGTAGTGAGTAACCACAAGATTTAAGGATGGATCCTTCTCATCAACATTAGCTTATTGGTATAGACACCACCCTATTCCCATGAAAGGCAGAGGACACATTTGCTGTGATCTGAATGTGTTCTTCCAGGATTTACACTTTAAAACTTATGGGCCAGAATGATAGT